GCGCGCAAAACGGCCAAAAGGACCTGAAACGTGGGCAGTAAAAAAGACAGGATCCTCGCCTTTCACAAGCGATCAAAAACGCAGGTCCAACAAAAGCAAAAGAGATTGCCCTCCTTATGTCTCAAGACATAAGCGTACCTTGCATCGAAAGTAAAGCCGAGAGGTTAACGCTGATTGGTCCTCCCGGATATGAAAAAAAAATCCGCAAGCACATTAAAGGGCTAGTCAGCATTGAACCGGACAGATATAATGTAGAAATTTTAAACATGGTATCTCCTGCAGGCAGTTTTTGCCATTTATGTATGCTGTGCTTTCAAGCGAAAACTTGCGACCGACCATCCTTCTGTTTCCTAGCAACCACTAGACGGTTGCACAGGCGAGTCTCCCTCGTTTGCTCAAAGTACTCTTTCCATAGCCGAATACTGCACTTATCCTCGGTAAGAGGATGCCTAGAACTGTCTTTCAAGACTCTTAGACTGTCCTTCCTTTGACCTTGCAGACCGCGAATGGTCTGCAAGAATATCTTCTTTGACGTCTAGAAATTCGACTCGAACACCCCACTGAGCTTCCCCCCAGGATTCAGCTTTGGCTGTCACCACTGCTTTCGCTGCTGCTTTGCGTGCCTCGACATATCGCATTCGAATAGACGGCTGTTTCTTTCCAATATATTACTTGAACGCTACTTTAATCTCTTTATCTGCCAGTTGTACCTCTCACGTCCACCATGAAATCTTTTCTGACCTCCAGGCGGCAGGCCAACCCGTTTATATCCGCAGCATTCGGCGGCAGCCTCCACTATTCCAACAAGCCTCCAGTTGCAGCCTCCAGTATAATTCAGTTGAAAGATTTGCGCTTTTCTTAACGCGAACATCCGTTACTGAGCGTTTTAAATGAGACGATACGATTATCAAATCGATCATTGACTTCTATGACTAGCTTCCCTGTACCAGGTGTACTGATGCACGATTTGATGCTGGAAGAGAGAATTCATGATGGATAGTTGACTGTTTGGACGAAACCGCTGAAAATCCATGCCTTTATTGCTGAAGCTGATAGAGGCGTTCTTTCCAATCGCGCGGTTCAGATTTTCAGTGTTTACTTCGACATGAGCGTCAAAATCGCATATTAGAATGAGGGACTCGATAGTCGGCAGTTGGTAGAGAGTATATTCCACATCTTCAAGGAAAGTTTCAAATTCTTCCTTTAAATAGGACGCGTAGACCTGTGTAGAGTCAACGCTTTAGCCTGATGTGGTTTTAGTCTTAGAATTGCCTCCTTTCCACTGAGAAACTTCTATTCAGTGATTCTCTCAGCCAGAATTGGGTTCTGGAAGAACACTAACACCGGCCTGAGCGCAGGTCCTGATATCCATAACGTAGTAGAATAGCTTCCACCTACAGAGGTTTGCGGTGCTAGAGGGTTGGCGCTTCACTGACGACAGGTAGGCTATCTAGAGTTGATGCATCACGGCATCATAAGTTAGCCGACGCTTTTCACTCTGGGTGAGAATATATTTCTATTTCCGACTGTAATCTCCCACTGGCGGTGTCGTTCTCATGGAGCTTTTTCTAACTTGCTTTAATGGCATCGCGTGTCTACTTCATCCTGTCAAAACTAGTAACCACTCTGTTGATGATTGATATCTTCAGCGTTGTTTCGTCGATCTTTAGCCGATCCGCTGCTCGCAGCTAGGGCATGTTTTAGAACGGGTCAGGCAGGTTTTTGACAAATGGCATCGTTCATATAAGCACTGACTGCTTTATTTTCAAGTCATGTAGCAAGAAACCTTCTACAACTTAGCATATATGCGGCAAATTTCTCGTTTTCCTTCGAACCTCACCTTTACTAGCAGTGAATCATCATTTTGGCAACAATAACAACAATCTGCCAATGTCATATTCATGCGTTATTATGCAAGTACTACTGATCAAGGAGAGGCCTCCATATGAAAATTGAACAAACCGCTCACGTTCATTTCTCCAAATCCATTCATACACAAATTCTCTTCGACGTATCAAACGTTCACCACTAACTTCCTGGAATTGCACAGATCGAAACGAGTAATGGTTGCAAAAGCGACTCGACTCGATGCTCACCACTATTGATTTTCGAGTTACGACGTTACCGCATAATATTCTTCCTGCTAAAATGTTTTACGCCTCTCTGTTGTTCTCTTAACAAACTTCCTATCAACTTTCTCTCGTCGTGCTTCTTTTCTGTCCGTCTTGTAGTCACGTTTAGTCTTCAGGGAAGAAAATAACCTTTCAGACGTAATATCAATCCGAGGTACCATTTCTAATAGTTGGATATAATGAATCTAGGATGCTCTGCTGTTTAAGATTTACGGATTTGAGATGACAACGACGCAAACAAGTTGCTTCTTATTTTAGCAAAGGGTTCAGGTAATGAA